CTAAATCTCATAATTGCTGCAAAACTTGTGGAAAAAAACCCTATCCGATAGCGTGCCTGGTAATGGCGTCGCGTTTGCATGCGAAACGTTAGGTCATGCAAACAAATGGCCAAACGATCGTACGTCATTATTCTCCAGTCAAATTGTACTTGACTTGAAGAATGGCTTTCAATGTGTCTGTTGCGCTAACGCTGCAATTTGGCGGATTTGGTTTCGTCGTTGGCGTTTTCTGCACATCGTCTTGCAAGTTGGGTTTTGCATGCTGCCGTCCCGTAGCGTTAGCAGTCTGTCATACGCTTGTGCGATCGCATACCTGTGGTATCTTTTAGTCACCGGAAATGCAATAGCACAAACGTTCTAGGAAATTATCACTCTCTCGTTTCGTATCTAGAAAAAAGACAGAAGAGGGAAAATAATGATAGCGTTTAATTTGACTAGTAAACATAATAAACAAAACATATATCATCCAGAGGCGAACAGTAATAGCTTTTTCTGCATATGCCTTACTATAATACCAATTAGGATCGTGTCGATGTATTTTTACTGGTACAAAACGGTAGGTTGTCTGTAGAGATAGGAAAGGCGTTGTTCACTTAAAAATGTCAGACGTTTATTATAACTTGAAACTGGCAAACGAGTTCATTTGAAAGGACTGACATAAACGCCACTTAACGAAAAATAGTTGGCGTGAATTTGAAGATCATTTTTATTCTGAAATTATAATAAAACAGATGTCAAAATGTTTGCGAGGACATGAAAATTTATTTATGCATCCTGCATTTTGGTACCTACAGCAAGGAATTTTCGGATTCTAGATCCAAAGCAAAAGAAGGCAATAAATGAACATATTAGATCAGCCGCCTTCCACTTGCGTAATAAAAGGTGTTCTATAAGGGCTCGGTTTTCATGTCATTTAATGTCAGCGCATAAGGGTGCTTTATGGATAGCCTACTGGAAGCTTCCTTAACAAGACAGCTCCCGCACAGCCAATACATTCGTTGCTTATGGAATCCACAGATTGTCTGCTATTTTGCCAGGAAAAGAGCACTGGTGCCGTGCATAAATCATTTTACGAATGAATAAGAACGTTCAGCTCCAGGCATTTGCATAGATAAGAAAGTGCTCGACAACCATAAAGATGGCTTGCTGTTAAGCATACAACTTGAACTTCTGATCCAAGACCATGTCACATCTGCCACATAACTGCGCATGTTCTAGAATTCCAAAAACAAGTATTGGATTCACTAGCTCAAGCAGATAGGGCATTTCGAGCGTGCTGAACGACGACTACCGTCGTGTACCGCACAGCACTGTGAGCACAGGGACGGTGACTTGGCATCCTATTGGTTTAAAGCAGACTTTCACAGCACTGTCAACTAACTTTTCTGCCTTACTCATCCATAGAAAAACAGAGAGTGTACAGCTGGACGTGGGTTAGGGTGTAATGGTTGACAAGCATAGACTGCCTTTCTACGCTAACCAAACACAGGCCTGGGCCTCGCACAGTGAACCTGATTTTCACAGAATCATCAAGGTTGTCAGCTCATATTCAAACGGGTATAGCCTTGAATTTTAATAAAGGCTCGCGGTTACACCAAAAGCTATCATTTTTTTGAAGTGGTTGATGATGACTGATTTGTCAGAATTGACCATTTAGGGACCCTTAATTTCTATCAATTACATTACTGAATAATGTTTGTAGAGTTCTAAACGTTGGGGTACAATAAATGCGAAATAATGCACTAGAAACTAACTTAAATCTTTTTATAGACCGCCTGGAAAAGTTTTCAAATGCAGTTTTCATTTGGCTTATATTTTTTATTATATTCACTTTGTAGAATGATCGGACGCCCCTTCACTACGCAGCTCAGAAAAATATCGAGTCCATGATCGTCATTCTCACAGAATCTATGGACCTTATTATGGAAACGGACAGGGTAAGCTTCCATTTAAAATATCTTTTAACAAAGCTTGGGGCAAGCTTTGTATCAATATCTGTCGTTTCCTTCAAAAACAAGCCTATGATTTGCTCAGATGTTGCAGGCTCTTGCACATTCAAATGAGCTGTGGCTCTCAGTAATTTCACTGATAGGATCATATTTTATGTAGGACTTCCGGCGCTAAGGAATTTTCAGAAAAAATTTGACAAATATGCGCGAGTTTCCAAAGTTGCTGTTCGGAGCGATCAAATAGCTTTTTGAGATTTAAATTACTCGAAGATACAAGCGACAATTAAGTCTTGGGAATTACTATCGGAGACGTAGAAGAGATCACTGGGACACGGATTTTATCCTATTAACGTTTAGAATTTTCTCTGAAACCGATCCTCAGGTACACTAACAGTAGTAGGAAAGGGTAGCTCGTACACTGGGAATTGCAGTATTTGTTTTAAAATGCATCATCATACCAAAATAACCACGAGCGAAGAAAGTTCAGCAGTTCATGACCCGTGCGCCGGCCGTCGATCAATTAGTGCACAAGCGGGCAACCATCCCCGATGTAGGAGGGAACCGTTAGTTGTCAGATCTATACAATAGCCTAGCGACTGCCTACTACAAATACTGCAAGAAACCGAGTGCACAAATTAACCGTTTCTGTTAATGCTACTTCCAATATAAGCGAACGTGCATGTCCCAGGAATCAATTGAGAAGAAGAAGCCTCGATCGCTGAAACAATATGTTTATTCGCCTGACGTTTCCACATCCGTCGCGGATTCATCATCAGAGACATGAGTAGCAAAAACAGGTAAAGCATGCACCCGCTGCCACCAGTGTAACGAGCGCGCTAGGTGTCTCTTTCTTCTCAGGAACAGACTCGTTCTTCACCGTATCACTTCCTTCTACTGACGGGCATCGAGACTGTTGTTGTTCTTGGTCAAGCGCCTGAAGTACCATAGTGACGGCAAACCGCTCACAAACAATCACACACACACACAGGACGTAAGAATCCGTATTGCACGAAGGTTTATTTAACCAAAATCAAGAACATGCAACTATAGCGATTCGTCCGGTTGTGAAAATAACTGGTGCTTGCGCAAACGAGATTGCCAACAAAAGCGCACCGACCCCAGGTTTGGCGTTCGATCCCGTAAGTCAAAAACATATCAGAAGCCGTCGGCCGCCTTCTCGCACCACTTGGAGTTGGAGTCGCACACAGGCCGGAGGCACCCATAAGGCGTCAAATAATAAAGACGAAAGACCCACTGTCATGGCAAGAAACATCTGGGGTCGTCTACAGGATATGGTGCAGTTGCGGTCAAAGCAACTATGTCGGAGAAACTGGCAGATTTTTCCAGGTGCGTATTGCCGAACACGCGGCAGCAGTGTGGTGAAATGATGCCAATTCTCAAGTTGCGGCTCATTC